TTATAAACTGCATGAAAACAAGTTAATTGTTAAAACTAAAGGGAAGCATATACATACTTTTTATCGGTCTTAGTATTAAACTCTACAATAGGAATAAGAAATTTCTTTAAATATTGTAATTAAAATAGACTATATATATAATTATATATATTTATATAATTATATATATCACAATTTTCATCACAATTTTGATGTGTACGCATGAATATCATAATAGTATTATAATTTGTTCTTCAGCATGATTTATTAAAATAGAGAATTAATATCTATTGATTTAAAGCAAACACATGACCATTACATTGTCATTGCTATCTGCCGCGGGCTCTACCTGCGGGTACCTGTCAGGTATACGAATACTTCACACCTCCATTGTTTTATTGCCTATACACACCAGCAGATTTCACACCTTTAATCGTCCTAATTTGCACAAAGCAAATGCTGGGGAAAAACAAACACAAGCCCAATAAATGCGACATTTTTTTTTTTAAAATCATTGCCCTAAACGGTATTGTTAAAAGCACACTAAACATGGAGTAGCAATTCCTGCCCTAAGAGATATATTGTACAAAAAAAAAAAAAAAAATAAACACAACAGCTAGGGTAAATCCTTAATCTTTCTTCATATGATGTAAACAAACTCTCTTTAATTTTATGTGTTTAAGTCAAGATTAAAACATTTTGCACCACCCGGACCTTTAAACTTCGGCGGACCTTTTCTTATACGGGCCGGACCTTTTCTTATAAAAGGCGGACCTTATATGTTATCGTTTTAGGTCCTCCCGGACCTTTAAACGAGGCGGACCAAATATTATGCGACAGGTGTCAACAGGGGATGCTTACCTAGACATCTGATCTCATCTCTGGAATTTCCAGGGATCTGCGTTGCATGTCCTTTTCACAGGTTTGAATTGTTTGTAGATTTTTTAAGATAGATAAATGTTCGTTATCTTCACCTTTTTCATCTAGCACGCAGATATTATGATTATAATTAGTATTCATCTTCTCATCAGAATTGTGAAATGAAATATGAAGATAACGAACAGTATTCAATCTCGAAAGTCCAATGAAACGATACAAATTTGGAGTAGAGCAAACACGGACATCAAAATTTAGAGGTAGGATCAGGTGCCATGGACGAGTGAGCATCCCCTGCCGACCGGTCACACCCGCAGTGTGCTCCTTGTCATAATCAAAAAGAAAAAAACACCCGGAAAAATCCGTAGACAGTTCAATGTATAAATAATTGTGAAAAACATCATTCAGCATTTGACTCAATGATAGGATCTATGCGTTTTAGAAATTGTGCATACAAAGAGCATGCTCTTGCGTATCGAATCAAGTGGGAGACATAAACCCCATATGCAGGTGATAAGGGTATATTCCTACATAATTAAGGAAAGCTGACGATTGAAAAGTTGAAGTCATCAAGTTTATCATAAAGCTTTGTTGTTAGATTACCATTAAAGTCTTTTTCTAGTAAAATATCTAAATATGAAACAGATGAGTCAGAATCTGTGGTATCTTTTATTTCAAGCTCACTTGGATATATCGAGTCGACATATGAATGAAAGTAACTATTATTTATTGAAAATACGTCGTCGATACATCGAAATGTCGAGTTAAAGGCCACAGCAAGAGTTTTCTTCTTCTCATGTAGAAGTTTTTGAATAAATTTTGCTTCTTATGAATACAAAAATAGGTCTGCTAATAAGGGGGTCGCAGACATTCAAACAACCTGGTTCAGGCTCTGTACATGTAGAGGTGCTTTGTTGGTCATATCAATATTGTAACATCTCTACGAATGGACATGTTGTAGGCAAGCCCCTTTTTTATTAATTATAATTACTACTTAGCCCTCTGTCAAAATTGTTTAATCGCCGGACACATTGTTCAGGTCCTAGGTTGTGATTAAGTTGGTGATTTAATAAAAATGGATTATTCTTATAAAAAAAGTCTTTTTTACTCAAATTTTCAAACAACCCCATAAAATTAGGCCCTTTGATGCAGATCCTTTCTGTGCCTTTATAGTTTGTTTCCGCATGACATTACATCAAGACATTTTCGTTAAAAAATGTCAACATTTAATAAAAATAACAATTTCCTCCTTAAAATATTTCTGGTTTCTACAGATACTGTATCGCTTCTTCCACTGTTATGAACAATTTCTAACACGAGGAAAGTTATTGACAAACAAGTTGATGAAACAAGAGTATCAGCATGCAGTCTCGTTTAAAGTCTTCATTTTGTAAGTTCTATGGTCGATACAATGACCTTGTCAGCAAATATAATCTATCATTAAGTCAAATGCTGACTGACTTTTTTCATACTAATTGTTAGGCCATTATTTACACTCTGAATTGTCGACGGATTTTTCCGTTATTTCCGTTATTTCCCGATCATGACAAGGAGCACACGGCGGGTGTGACCGGTCGGCTGGGGATGCTCACTTCTCCTTGGCACCTGATCCCCCTCTGATGTCTTAGAGGTCCGTGTTTGCTGTACTCCTATTTTGTAATGTTGAGAGGACTTTTGAGCTCGAATACTGTTCGTTATCTCCACATGTTTCATTGATAAGGTAGACGGAGTACTCCGTAGTAAAATTTAGTATAAAGCTATGACCTAACATACGGTATGAAGCAGTCAGACAAAATAGGATCCAGCGATAAATTGTATTTACAAACAAAGTCATTAAAACGAACGTAGAATTTGGGAAAAGCTGAATTTTAACGGGGTTGTTGAAATCTTTGTGACATCAACTTATTTGTCAGTAACTTGCCTCGGTTTGGAAATTGATCGTATTCAGAGTATGCTCTTGCGTATCGAAGAAGTTAAGAGACATAAACACCATATGCAGGTGATATTTGAATTTGTTTGTTTGTCTGAGTCCCTTAGAGAATTTTTCAAACCCTAAATGACACCTGCATGATCCCACCTCTGATGTTAGAGGTGTTTGATAGCTCTCAATTTGTATTGATTGAATTGACTTTTGAGCATGATTACTCTTTGTTATCTTTATATTTCATATTGTGAAGCCACCACTTGCCGATGGAGGTCTGCAAATTTAGACCCGACTCAGCACTTACGGCCTTTGAGCAGAGAGGAATCTTTTTCGAGCCAGCACCTATTGCGACACGGGACCTTGGTTCATACTGTCTCATCCGAAGGACCGGTCTTCGCGTCCCGCAGTGGAATTCGAACCCTCGACATAAGAATCAACTTCTTACTCTGCGACTCCAGAGCAAACGGTCTAACAACTGCGCAACGCGGGCGACCAGGTGATGTTAGAATATTTCTACATGTACTACAGGTAATTTGTTTATAGCCAATAACGCACCCAGATATGAAAGAGATGTGGCAGACTGTATTGTCTTTTATTGCGAGTTCACTGGGATATAAAGAGTCAACATATGAATAAAAGTGACTATTTTTAATTGATAAAACGTTGTCGATATGTACTATGTATGTTGAGTTGAATGCCACAGCAAGATTTTCCTTCTTCTCGTGAAGATGATTTTGAACAATGTGGTGGAACAGATCTACTATTTATTTCTTATGTATTTATTCGTTCTGGGATAATTCTATTTTCGTTTTATCTAAAGTGATCTTAAATATTTTTGATAAATAATTCTTTTGCGCAAAAAATTGGACAGTATAACATTTTCATCAGGAAATCTCTATCCAGCGTATGTCAGCTGAATCTTGTGGTAAGTAACTATCTTGTTTCTTTATTTGTTACGTTACCATAAAGTTTTGAGTATTAAATTTTATTTAATTGCAGCGTTTATATTTTTTTTGGCAGTTAAAGTTGTCTTAGTAAATTCTTGTATTTAAATTCTTGTAGTTCAAAGTTTATTTTGCCACAGAAAAGTCTACTAAAATGTTCCGCAACTTTGCCCATCGAAATTCCAATATGTTTTTGGAAGACCTGGTTTCCAAGAATACATAGATGTTAAGTGTGGGTATCCGGCGATGTTGGCTTCTACAGTATAAATTAGACCAGAAAAATTGTCTAACATCTTACCGAGATCTGTAATCAAAGCACTGGACGGAGGATGTCTAACATCTTACCGAGATCTGTAATCAAAGCGCTGGAAGGAGGATGTCTAACATCTTACCGAGATCTGTAATTAAAGCACTGGACGGAGGATGTCTAACAACTGACCGAGATCTGTAATTAAAGCGCTGGAAGGAGGATGTCTAACATCTTACCAAGGTCTGTAATCAAAGCGCTGGACTGAGGATGTCTAACAACTTACCGAGATCTGCAATCAAAGCACTGGACGGAGGATGTCTAACAACTGACCGAGATCTGTAATTAAAGCGCTGGAAGGAGGATGTCTAACATCTTACCGAGATCTGTAATCAAAGCACTGGACAGAGGATGTCCATCTTATAGAGATCTGTAATCAAAGCGCTGAACGGAGGATGTCTAACATCTTACCGAGTTCTGTAATCAAAGCACTGGACGGAGGATGTCTAACATCTTACCGAGATCTCTAATCAAAGCGCTGGACAGAAGATGTCCATCTTATAGAGATCTGTAATCAAAGCACTGAACAGAGGATGTCTATCATCTTACCGAGATCTGTAATCAAAGCGCTTGACAGAGGATGTCTAACATCTTACCGAGATCTGTAATCAAAGCGCTGGACAGAGGATGTCCAATTTATAGAGATCTGTAATCAAAGCGCTGAACGGAGGATGTCTATCATCTTACCGAGATCTGTAATCAAAGCGCTGAACGGAGGATGTCTAACATCTTACCGAGATCTGTAATCAAAACAACTGACCGAGATCTGTAATCAAAGCGCTGGACAGAGCATGTCCATCTTATAGAGATCTGTAATCAAAGCGCTGAACTGAGGATGTCTATCATCTTAACGAGATCTTCAATCAAAGCGCTGAACGGAGGATGTCAAACATCTTACCGAGATCTGCAATCAAAACAACTGACCGAGATCTGTAATCAAAGCACTGGTTGGAGCAAATTAAAAACATCCTTAAACACTCATGATTCTTTTTATTTTAAGCAGAGTATATCGATTACAAATATTTTGGATCATTTTGATAAATCATGGGACACTATGAAAATGAATATTAAACATCCATATATCAAATATGTAATGCGTTTACAGCAACATGTGTATACAATTTGTAACTTATCATAAGGAATGTTGATTACTGAAAGTATTTTTTGTGGAATTAGGAAGAAATGAATTTGTATTTATGAAACTCACAGAAAATTAAAATGATAGATTTACAATTTAATTGCTTTAGTCATGGGAAAATGTATTCATGGATCGTCTCGTTATCTCTATATCTTATATCATCTATTAAACTGACACTAAAATAGCATCGCTTTATATTTAACTTCTTGAGGATATAATTTGCAATTTTGTACAATTTTTGTAAACACTATCAAAAACAATTATATAAGAAAATAGCAATAATGAATAAAAGTGATAGTTGCAGAAGCTCGTTAACTTTAGTATAAGCCACAGCTGCATTTGTGGAAGCAAGGGTTTGGAATTGTAGGAACACTGGGTCACTTTTCTGTGGCCCATATTCTGTAACAAAGGACAGGTTGTAAATTGTTTCGGGATCCAGTCCTGTCAAGTCAAACCAGTCGGAGTATGCATCTACATATCGGACGTGAACTTGGTCATTGGGTGAACGGAACTCTACTACAACCGTTGACATCTCGTAACAAGCTGAAGGTACCGTCCAGTTCAGACGAACACTTTTGTCAAAGGTTGCAGTAATGGTTAAATTATTTGGGCCAGGATCTAAAAAGATAAATGACTGAGATATTGAACCTTTAATGAAATCATGGGTTAATTCAACTGTGCATCATTCTGAGATCTGAACACTGTGGTTATTTAAATTATTGTATATTAATCTCCACACTATGAAGATACATACATTCATCCATTCCGTCAAGCGAGGATAAATCTGTAATCTGTAAATAGTAAACAAAACAAAACAGCGCTTTAGCTATGCTTATGACAGAAAAAGTAAAATAAAAATATGAGTTAGGAGAATTGAATATTTCTAGCATCCAAGGGCGACAAATCTTCTTACTATAGTACTGTAAAAAGCAGGTTTCATTGCCATGTTATATACAGTCAGATTTAATAAGACAAACTCCTCTGCCAATTTTTCCTCTGGCACAACAAACCAGCAGTTGTTTATGTCCAGGTTGTGGCGGTAATAAAAGAAGCTTCCTACAGATGTTTTGTATCCTGTTTCCAACCCAGGATCAGCCTACAATGAAAAGAAAACACCATGTATGATTCCAGTCTTTTTTTCAATATTTCTTTCTATATCAAAGACTCAAACAGCTTTTGTTTGATTTGATACTTCTGTTTTCTGGAATAATGAAACGGGACAGTACTTTATTTTTTCTTTATCAAATATAAACTATAGAACAAAGCTGCAAATAATGCAAGGCAAAAAATTGAATACCAAAATATTCTTTACTTTTGTTTTGTTTCCTGGAATATCAATTTCATGGAATATTTCATTGCTTCTAGATCTTAGTTCCACGTGTATTCTATGTATTCCACTTTCTCTGTCAAAGACATCTATCTGTATTCTGAGAAAATCATTTGACTATATGTTACTAATTCCTCTTGATATCATTTATGAGAGAGAGAGAGAGAGAGAGAGAGAGAGAGAGAGAGAGAGAGAATTAATTTTAATTTTATATCAAAACAAACAATTGAAGATTCTTTAATTTTCGTACAGACTGGAGAAGACGTAAGTAGCATTTTTAACGTTCCTCGTAAATATGACGTCTGATGGGTTTAAACGTTTTGGTGGGCTGGAATCAAAGGAAATCTTCGTCAAGTCAACTTTCGTATTCCCCATGATGTCAGTCGCCTTCACCCAGAAGTTGAAGGTGTCGCCATCTTTTCTTTCAATATTAAAAATCTGAGTTTCAGAAAATGTATCATTCACCTTATACCAGGTTTGCGGGGTTCTCTCCCCTTGACCTCCATGTCTGTAGAAATATTCAAATTTCACTATACCGTAAACATTCCGGATTTTTTTCAGTGTTCTTTTCCCCGAGTTATCATCAAGTTGGTTTGGAACGTGCTTTTCAATGTTTGTAACAGAATCGACATTTTTATACTGTGCTACTGGATTTAAAAGTTTATTGTTCTCGTGGAATTGGTTCTGAAAATGTCCTTTCCATGACACGATAATGTCCTTATTGAGGTTATTTTGCCATTTATAGTTTGTTTCAGGTTCTGCGCTTCTTGCTATAAATGGTAATTTAGATAGAGTGATATTTGAACTTGGGTCATATAACACCAAGGTGCGTGCGCATTGTGTATTGCTGGCTCGGTCTATTACATTTAGTATAAAGGAATACAACCCTGCTCTCTTTGGAGTGTAGGTATATCTTGTTTCTAGTGCCGAAAGGGATATTTCCTCGTCTGGGCGCCATGGATTTGTTTCCGCCAAGATTGTTATGTTCAGCTTCAGCAGAAAAACCTGTATTTTATATTCTTCGATTCCAGAAAGCCCATCTTCCCAGTTGTTCCATGACAATTCTATTGGAGACTATATAAAAATGAAGGTAAAACAAAAGATTTATAATTTAAGGACATACGCAAAGCACCTTACCAACTGATAATTTTTAAAGATATTCTTAATTTAAAATTTTAGTGCCATCAGATGCTCATAAACAAAAAATCAGCATGCATTATCAGCTGGGGATTTTGTATGGATATTAATTGATGCAAATTATTCTATAATTCAAAGAAAAATACACAAAAATGACTAAACATATATATTCTAGATGTTTTTTCATCAAGATTAATTTAGAGGAAGTGTACAGCACCATATATAGACATTAAAAGAGTAGCACACAGGTCCTTCAAGTATTGGAACTCTTCAACTCCAGGGAAAAGTACAATTAAGTTCAAACTAGGTTGCGTATGTCCTTTAGTTAATACTACATCCAGTATCTTTATGATTATTTTTTGGTTGACTTTCTTAAAAGTTGATGTTTCCAGTTGAATTTATAAAACATTGTCCATATACACCCAAACTGTAGAAGTACGTGAAGATATTACGCCTTTCTCCACTGACCTTTATATTCAAAAGAAAAATGTTTTAAAGAAGTCTTATCTTAAAAGGGTTCAATTGAAATACTTAGTAAATACGACAACACACTTAAAGGTTTTTATCCCATGTTTACCCCTTTATCCCGTGGATATGACTCATTGGATAAATTTTTCATAATCCACAGTTGTGACGTCACAATGGTTTTTGCGTTAGCGCGATGAAGTAAAATAAAGTGGAGTCCTATATAAAACAGTGTAAAACATTGGTTGTGAAGTATTAAACATGGGATAAAAAGAATCTCCCATGATTTGTAGTTGGATATGACTTTTATCCAACTCGTTGTGTGTTTTTATCCCCTCGCCAAGGCTTGGGGATAAAAAACACACAACTCGTTGGATAAAAATCATATCCAACTACAAATCATGGGAGATCCTATATATATACCTTGGTGATATCCTTTACAACATCCAGTGCTTTTGCCTCACATGGTCCGCCTAAGAGACATTGATGTGGCTTCACCAAATCAACGCGAAACATTGTAGATTTTGTAGACATGTCGTCGATAAATAAGTCTTTTTCAATAATACCCCAGATTTCAGTAAAAGCTGTCAGAGTTAAACTTAAAAAAAAAAGAAAGTCAAAATAGACAAAACCTTCATTACATTTTCTAGGATCAGGATCAGGAGTCCAAGGCTAGTTCTTTTTATCATATATTTAGATGTCATTTATTTGAGACATGACAATAAATATTAATGTGAAAAAAAAGAAGTTGACGATATGAAAAATTAATAAATTTGAACGATTACATTATTAATTATCAAAATCTAAGAAGGGAGCACACACACACACACACACACTGAAGATAATTTACTTGTCTCCATGCTCCAGCTGCATGTCAAAGTTGTCATCTGTGTAGTTACAGTAAAACACATCATCGTTTGGATTCAGAGAACTAGGCTGACTCTCACAGAGCTTGGTTTTATTTCCACTCACAAAGGGTTTCTTTTCTAGTAATAAATCCAAATATATTCCATTTTCTACTATTTTCTTAATTCAATTCATAATAATTTATATCTCTCTTCTTCCTTATCATTTAAATAGATATTAAATATAATATAGAAGTTAACATATCTTCACCTGTTCTGCCCATTTTGTGAAGAATAATATTAATTCCTCCAGACATGATTCCCACCTTAAACTGTTTTATATATCTTGAAAGGTTTAGGCTGTCCGGTGTTGTTGAGACGGCGGCAAATGTGACGTTGATATAGTTGTAATCATTATGGTTTACCCACATTGTGTCTACCTTCGTAGAGTTTGGTTCAGAAGAATCTATAACAGATCTGTATAATTCCCTCCTCTGTCCAGATCTTTCATAATATGCGAGAGTGGACGTATATTGTATGATAATTGGGCTCAACTCTGCAACTGTACATAAATATAGAGAAATGAAATGATCAATTTGTACACAAAGGAGTGGAATCTTTATGCGTGTTTATCTTGTTATGCGATCTTTCATTAATTAAAGCGGAATAAAAAAAAAAATACATTTTATTTTCAGGTAAGAATATTATATGTCTTCTCTGTCAACCTCATTTCAATAATTTACATAATCTTTTTTTAGGTTGTTGTGGCGTGCATTAAGAATTTCAAGGTAATCTGTTTAACAGTGGTTGATATTGACTTAGATACTACTAAAGAACTTTTGATTGACCTCAGTTTTGTCACTAATGGCCAACAACAAAACAATGTGATGAACGTAATGACTTTTGATGGGTTTATTCTTACGCAATGACTTTGTGACGTGTTTATTCTTACGTAATGACTTTGTGATGAGTTTACTCTTATGCAATGACTTTGTGATGAGTTTACTCTTATGTAATGACTTTGGGATGAGTTTACTCTTATGTAATGACTTTATGATGGGTTTACTCTTATGTAATGACTTTGTGATGAGTTTACTTTTATGTAATGACTTTGTGATGAGTTTACTCATATGCAATGACTTTGTGATGAGTTTACTCTTATGTAATGACTTTATGATGGGTTTACTCTTATGTAACGACTTTATGATGGGTTTACTCTTCCGTAATGACTTTGGATGGGTTTAATCTTCTGTTCAATGGGTTTATTCTTTCGTACGTGATGAATTTGTAATGGGTTTACTCTTACCCGTTTGGCAGGCATTTCCGGTATACCCGTGTCTACAGTAGCATGTGTCTGGTCTTACACAGGTACCTCGCCCATGACAATCCCCGATACAAATAGCTGGAAATACAGATATTAAATTCTGTCTTTACAGTGATGAATTTCTTGATTCTATATTTTAGAAATTCTAATTCTTTTAGCTTTGATTTCTTTTATCTGTCTTTTCATAAAATTAACTCACTCTTTTTATTTGCTAATAATAGAATCAATATCAAAAAGTATCCCTCTAAAAGAAACCGACTGGGAAGTGTAATTATCATATGTCGAACTTGTGGCCTACAGAATGGCACAGGATGTACAGAACATTCAATTACGTAATAAACAAATAAATTAAAGTTCGAGTTAGACTTACTTGGACCATCAATGAAGGAATTTTTTTTATTCCAAAAGGATAGGATGTACATCCGTTTTGGAAGTGACTGAAACTCATGCACGCATAAAGGAAACTTAAGATGTTATAATACATGTATGAGCAAACATTGAAATGTAAGATGTTATAATACATGTGTGAGCAGACATTGACATGTAAGATGTTATAATACATGTGTGAGCAGACATTGACATGTAAGATGTTATAATACATGTGTGAGCAAACATTGACATGTAAGATGTTATAATTCATGTGTGAGCAAACATTGACATGTAAGATGTTATAATACATGTGTGAGCAGACATTGACACGTAAGATGTTATAATACATGTGTGAGCAAACATTGACATTTGCCGGATTCCTCGCATGGAATCAACTGTGATCGGCCAGAGCCCATTACAAAAAAGTTCATTGCTTGCCAATAGACAAAAAAGAGGAGAAAACTCGAAACTTTAGAGTGACTGTACATAAACATCAGAGATAGGATCGGGTACCTAAGAAGAGTAAGAATCTTCGACTGAAATTACGTAATTTGGTACTTCCTGTAGCATGTTTTAAGATTTTGTTCCATGAGTTTTCCTACAAAACCATAAAAATATGTATGTTTTTTTCCAGTTCTGCACAAAAAGTCATTTTCTTTCTTCATTTTTAATCTATTTAGTTAGATAAGTTAATTTGATGTTTTTATATTATGTTGATAGTGAATTACCACTTAATCTTAAGAGTCATTGAAGTATTCAGCAGGGTGGTTTGTTGTCTACGTGAAGTCTTTTTGAATTATAATTGTAAATTGATGTACTTCACCAGAGTTCAGGATTTTTGACATCATAGACAGCTGCTTTTTCAATAAAAATGGAACTCGTAAATATCAACTTCCCTTACTTATGCAGCAATATACCTTCATCACCTGCATACGGGGTATATATCTCTCAGTTGATTCGATACGCAAGAGCATGCTCTACGTATGTACAATTTCTAAAACGAGGTAAATTATTGAAAAATAAGTTGATGAAACAAGAATATCAGCTGTCTCGTTTAAAGTCATCATTTCGTAAGTTCTTTGGTCGATACAATGACCTTCTCAGCAAATACAATTTATCATTGAGTCAAATGCTGACTGACGTTTTTCATACTAATTGTTAGGCCATTATTTACACACTGAATTGTCGACGGATTTTTCCGTTATTTCCCGATCATGACAAGGAGCACACGGCTGGTGTGACCGGTCGGCAGGGGATGCTCACTCCTCCATGGCACCTGATCCCACCTCTGATGTTTGGAAGTCCGTGTTTGCTCTGCTCCTATTTTGTATTGTATAATGGACTTTTGAGCTTGAATACTGTTCGTTATCTCCATCTATTTCATACTTACCTTGTCATTGGTCATTTACAAAATTATTTTGTTAAAAAGCACTCTGATTGTACACACAAGTACTCTGAAGTTGATATTAAAAAGATGCTTGAGTTTCTGATTGACAATATCTATGTAGTTTTTGTAGATCAGATCGTCAAACAATCTGTTGGAAATCCCATGGGTACCAATTGCGCCCCCTTATTAGCAGACCCATTTTTGTATTCATACGAAGCAGAATTTATTCAAAAACTTCTACATGAGAAGAAGAAAACACTTGCTGTGGCCTTCAACTCGACATTTTGATATATCGACGACGTTTTATCAATTAACAATAGTTACTTTCATTCATATGTCGACTTCATATATCCCAGTGAGCTTGAAATAAAGGATACCACAAATTCTGACTCATCTGTTTCATATTTAGATATTTTACTAGAAAAGAACGTTAATGGTAACCTAACAACTAAGCTTTATGATAAACATGATGACTTCAACTTTTCAATCGTCAACTTTCCTTACTTATGTAGCAATATACCCTTTTCAGCTGCATATGGGGTTTATGTCTCTCAGTTTATTCGATACGCAAGAGCATGCTCTACGTATGAACAATTTCTAAAACGAGGCAAGCTATTGACAAACAAGTTGACGAAACAAGGATTTCAACAGTCTCGTTTGAAGTCATCTTTCTGCAAGTTTTTGGTCGATACAATTACCTTGTCAGCACATACAACCTGTCATTGAGTCAAATGCTGACTGATGTTTTTCATACTGATTGTTAGGGCATTATTTATACACTGAAAGGATTTATGTTTCAAAATCATGACAAGGAGCACACGGCGGGTGTGACCTGTCGGCAGGGGATGCTCACTCCTCCATGGCACCTGATCCCACCTCTAAATTTTTAGGCCCGTGTTTGCTCTGCTCCAAATTTGTATCTTTTCATTGGACTTTCGAGATTGAATACTGTTCCTTATCTTCATATTTCATTCCACTATATTATGGCTGACGTCACGGAAATAATATGACATCAGGAGACTATATCTCGCAGGTACAATCCATTTTAGTAATGAATGTAAACAATTTAAGAAAAATGCCGACGTCCTTGTTTGCATGACAAGACGGAATGAAAGTAAATTCTCTTAAATTTTCGCACTTTATGTATATGTATTCCTTAGTCTGATTCCATGACAGTTCACTGCGGGATATTCTTTTAAAATTGAAAGAAGGCAAGACTTGTCTTTTCAGTCGAAAGCATTAGCGTTTAAATATTGTTGTCCTACGGAATTTCAAGTAGAAATCAATACGAGTATTAGGCCTAAATTAAAATAATGTTTGTTTGCCCTCAGCCGACCGACCCACAAAAATTAGCCCGACTCAAAATATTTTATTGCTCTTTTCATTTACAATTTTTTTTATTTAAATAATTTCAAACCACTTTGTTTTAATCTTGTTAAAAACTTCTTAAAAGTCATTTAGATGCTTTGATTAGTACATGTAGTGTTAAAAATAGAATGTAATTGGCGAAATATGTGTTAATTCTAGAAAAGCTATTTTGTTTACTCAGTACCAGTACATGCAGCAATATCGCCTTAGATTTTAATGCCCGCAAAGGTGTGAATTCAGGGTGTGAAAGGTGTACAGGCAATCACTTCTCGCTTGAACGCACACAGCTGAAGAAGTAGTAATAGGGGATAGAAAATAATGACTGAAAATGTAAAAGATATCAGACATAAATTATTATTAAATATATTTAAAATTATTATCAAAATTGGAGGTGCTTTTTAAAACCGAAAGAAAAAACATTGTTGATGAGGAAAAGTGGCGAACAAGGCTGATGATTTTACCTTCAGATACTTTAAGTCAACTTAAATAAATGTAATAAAACTTAAAAGTTGAATGAGAAATGGGCTTGGAAATACAAAGTATCAAGTCAAAAGCCAAATACATTAAATGATGTTCAAACTTTAAAGCTGATACCCGCAGGTTCAATGTTTCTACACCAGAAAGAAGTTCTCAATAGGATTTACGTCATTTTTGTAATATAAATTTTTAAAATTGTCGATATGATGAGTTTTCACTTGATATATCATTTTCCTGAAAAAAATGCCCTTTACATTTTTTCTAATTTCTAACCCCCCCCCTTGATTTTTTTTTACACAAATTAATACAAGCAGTCAAAAAGTAAATAAACCACCTCAAGGCCTTATAAATTTTAAGCATGCAACGGAAGACAAGACTATTCCCTTTTCTTATTCCCCTTCTGCCCATGTACAATCATGCATTTAGGGGAAAAATCATTGTCGAACATTTTTCCTTTATAAAAGCAAGGCCACATTAGTCATACTAATATTCAGAATCCCCATGTAGGTTAGATTAAATTCGGTTATGTCATGAGTCCTTAAGCCTTGGGTGGACCCACAATTTTTCATGGGAATGTAGAAAAATCTTTCAAAAACAATCTTTTGAAGAGCAGCAATATTAAAAGTGACTCAAATGAGCATTTGGCGGTTATGCTTCTTTGTATAATTTTCAGTAAAAAATAAAATATTTTTCCTAGCTACCTACCCATTGTTAAAAATCTGGGTCGGAAAAGGGCAAGCAAACAATTTTTTAATTTTGGCCTTACTACAATAAATTACATTTTCAAAACATAATCTATTAATATATACTCGTATTTACTAAAAAGAACAGAATGTTTTTTTAAGCTAAAGCCCCTTCCTTTCGATTGTTGTGTTAAAAATAAATGAATATATACATGTGTATCCTTTAAGAAGTACTTTGTTATAAAAGAAACATTGCAAGATTTACGAGTGATTCATTTCACTTCAATCTTCCTCTTTTTTAATTCCAATGAAGAATTAAAATCTAAAAATATGATACTCAACATTTTAGGAGATTACTTCTCATTTATGGAATTGAGTCTCGAGGGTATATCATATAATATGGTTAATGAATAAAACAAAATACCTCAAAGGACTATTCATACCCTCAGTGTATAGAAAGCAAAACACAATTATGATTAATAATCTGAACATATAAAGAAAAAAAACTTAGTATGTTTTATTGTTATGACGTCATTATTACTTTACTTACGTTGACAGTGACTCCCACTATAGCCAGGACAACAAGTCTCTGTGTAGGTCTCCCGGTATCGCCACACATGGCCATAGTAGGTACTGCATGAAATTCATAAATTCAGGAATTACAACCACGTTGTTGTCAACAGAGAGGAGGAAAAGTTAATTGTAGTATATGAACTATCCAGTTGATTAAGTTCTTTCATTACTTACTCAAGGTTTCTTTATTTTTTTATTATTTGATCCACTCAAATTAAAAAAAAAAGGCTTCCTCAAATGACTTCTTTATATTTTACACTTACCTATTTGTAGTATCTTGTCAGGTTTATCTAGATGATATCAAATGTTTTTTAGTTGGATATTTATTTCACGAGTGGAACAAAAGTTTTTGTGAAAATTAAAAAAAAAATCCCGTCTCACGAGTAAAATAACTCGAGAAGCCACGAACGTTTGTCTGTCAAGTGTTACGTTACACAAAGTATGTTACGTTCATGAAAATATAAGTTGTCTTTATCCTAGATTTTAAACACATATCATCAAATATTGTCAGCTAGTAGGTGTATTTTGGATTTTTTAAAGAAAAAAAAAATGAACTTGCACGCTCTTCATCACTACATAAACACTTAAAATTTGACATTTCTTACATAACGTACCGATTGACAGACATTGCCTGAATACTATCGTAACGGTTACGGACAAAACGAATGTCTGTTCATGTTACGTGAATCAAACGGGTGCATTCAGATTTATACGTTTATAGTGAATTAAACTAAAAAGTATTTTTATTTAAGAATATTAGTGTATCATAAGGCAAAATTTGTCTTTATAACTTAAACAATACAATTTTGTAGTTGTTTTCTTGCAGTTTTTAAAACGAGTCTGTCAGGGTTACGTGCATCCGTACATGTTACGATATAGGTTTGATCTATATGAAATAATTTATTTTTTTAAATTTCATTAGTATTTTCATAATTAATAATGTCTTGTGTATTATAATTTCCAAGAATAAAAGATAAAATTTGAATGATAAATTTTATTGGCTCGTTTCAAACAGGTATTGCTCAAGAAATATCGTAACATGACAGACATGATGGAAACTTTGTATGTTACAAAGCGTATAGCAGAGATCTATTTTTTTAAAAAATCAAATTTAAAATCTATAAGGAATCAAAATTTGAATAATGTCCATTTCTTACGGCAACATTATCTCTTTGATAAAATAATGAAAGTTTATGGTTTATTTGGCTGGCTAAGTAAAGGAGTCTGTCAGTGTTACGATCATCAGTTTGTGCATCAAAAATAGCTTAAAAATCTTTTTTCTTCTATGTAAGAGTGAAAAAAAATTGCATTGTTTAAGGAATTGTTTAATATTTATTTTTTACAGATTATTTGTATTGCTAAGCATCAGAAATGTAATTTAATCATGTCACGTTTTATCATACGTCTGTCATGTTACGTTATATGTCTGTCATGTGTTACGTGACACATATTTCAAACATTAATCAAATATTTATTTTTGACTTGATTATCTATTCAAACATTTTTTTGTCCTATTTAGAGTCAAAACTTCAAATACACATAAAGAAATCTAAGGAAAAAACGTGTCTACAGAATTCTTTATTTGTCCTCCCAGAGCGAATTGGATATTATCAACAATTTGGAGAAACTTTGGCAATTTTAGTTTGTGTCGGGATGATTTATTTCCTCTCGATGTCTTACAAGTGGGAGTATTTTCTTTGTAACACTCATCGTGCGGGAATAAAAATCTCGAGTTTTGCCGAACGTTTGGTATTTTCAAGGTAAAGAATATCATTTTTCATATTTTTCACTGCGAAAAATATCACTTCCAAAAATTCCTTTATTGGAGATTTCACAGTATTTCACTTTTGAAAATGAAATAAAAACGAGTGGTTACTTCAAATATAACTTTAAACCTAATAAGGCCACATTTTTTGATTTCTTGGATTACGGATTCCCCCTCTTAAGAAAGAGGTTTTCGGGAAAAATACAATAGAAATAAATTGAGGATATTCAATGATTTTGAAGTTGGATAATTTGATATGATTTTGATATTTTAACGATAGGAATTCAGAGTAAAAAAAAAAATCCTGTCTCACGAGTGAAATAAATATCATATTCAACTAACATTACTTCTTTAAAAAGAAATATATCTAACAAGACAGGTAGTCCTCTTTGAAATAAAAATAAGATGAGGTCAAAAGACTTCACGGAGCAACGAGTAGCGATATAATTTTATTTTACACTCTGGGACCCTATTAGCAAACTTTGACATGTTGGATGAACCAGGAAATATAACAAAAATCTGTATATAAACGGCAATGACAAATATGAAACTTGTCCGGGGAAACTAGGTCCAACTAGGGTTCAAGACGATGGGTTCAACTAGGGTGTACGGAAAAGTAGATCCGTAAAACCTATTAACATCTTTCAAGTTTAAAATAAGGAAAGAAATATTTCCTTTATAAAACAAAAAAGTGAGTGTTTGCCTTATTACGTCAAATAAATGCGTTTAAAAAATAGTCCACAAGAAGAGTTTTTCTATAAATTGTGACAATTTGACACCTAACCTGTATTGTTATCACAAAAGTCGACAGGTCGACAGTTGACACCTAATTGGTAAACTCTTATCCCTAAATAAAGGTCGACAGGTCGACATCAAATTGCTAAATTGCATTCATTACAACAAAGGTCGACAGTTGACACCCAATTGGGAAAGTATTTTCACGAACCCTCCCGATCGAGAGATTAGCGTTAGTCCTCAAACCCATCGGAGAGATTAGGGTTAGTCCTCAAACCCACCCGAGAGATTAGGGCTAGTGCAGGAACCCACTGGAGATAATAATCCGTCGACCTGTCTACCTGTCAACCCGTTAACTCGTTTACCTGTCGACCTGTCAATTTGTCGACCTGTCAACCCGTCGAATCGTCCACCTGTCGACCTGTCAACCTGTCGACTAGTCAACCCGTCGACTTGTCTTCCTGAATACATGTAGACCTGTCAAGCAAACAATCTGTCAATCTGTCAACCCTTCGACTCGTCCAGCTGTCAACCTGTCAACCTGTCGACTCATTTACCTGTCAACCTGTCGACCTGTCAACCTATCCGCCTGTTTATATGTCCACAATTTTATCAAAAAGGTTCTTCGCTACATAGAATTTCTCCATTTCCTCATATTCTTTAGCAATGCAAATTAATTCTTCAGCCCTTTGGCGTATGAAAATATTTACCGGAACTAATTATTAATTACGAATGTCTTCAGGATTATTTTCAATCCACAAACTAGAAAGATAAGATTTTTTGGTGACATAGTATAATTTTCCTATTGAATACTACATTGGTGGTAAAATAATGCATGAAAAGCTTTACTGAATTCTGGTATGAACTCAAGAAGATGGGAAAGGGTATGCATTTTAATTTTTTTTTTTTTAAATTTTATTTTATTTTTATTTATTTATTTTTTATTATTAATTAATTCATTAATTTATTTATCTATTAGTTTATTTATTTATTTATTCATTCATCCATTCTTGTCTTTGATTACTTGTTTGTTCCTATATACATATGCAGGTGGAGGCCTGTGTCTCATTTTTGTTGTTGTGATTTTTTTTCTCAAAAGATTTATCATTTTTTAAGTGTCAAATTTCAGTTTCGTGAAGCTCATCATCAAAAGAGAAATATTTGGACATGCTGAAGCTCACACCACCTCATCAAACACGTTCCATCTATACACGTGGATACGCTTCAACGGATTAAATAAAATGATTTCACGCTTCAACGGATTAAATAAAATAATTTCTAATTTTTATTTTAAAAAGTACTTTTAAAAACATAGACCAGAAAATTTATTCAGCCAGTTGGAACCTATTGTGGATTATGATAGTGTATTAAGTCCAAAATCATATGAGAAAAACTAAGTTCAACAATACATGAGGGACTGCAAAACACATGACATGTATATTAATAAAGTTTAATGTTCTCTTGGCTTAAAAAACAGAATCTTCATTTGACATTACCCATGTTAATCCATGTAAAGAGTTCAATGTTGTTGAGCAGTACTAAAAAATCTTTTTTAAAGCTTCCACATATGATCCTTTTTATTAATTATGTGGTGGATGGGGATGTCACAAACCATCAATTTCTGATGCAGAAGGGGGGGGGGGTGTTTCGATACATCGCTAAATATTCTATTTGATACTTCCCAGAAATGTACCCTATTATTCACAAGTTTTGGTTTTAAAATTCTAATAGTTTTCGCATTAACAATTTAATATCTGGAATAAAAAAAACTTTTATTGAGTTTAATTCGTTTTTCCAAATTTCAAAAAGAAAAGATTTTTATGTTGCTTTTGTGTTAGTTTTAGAAAGTACTAAAGACTATTCGAGTCAGATTAGTTTTTGAAAAATGCAGAAACGTTAAACTTACTCTACATTTTTTCCATTAAAATTAAGAAAATAATTCTTAGAAATTTTGCGATGCTGATACTTTTAGCCCTCCCGATACACAGCCCTAGTGTTGATCAGATGATCAGTTTCCAAGTGTCCTGATAACCCAGGAGTTAGATCAGCTTTCTGTAGTTTGGGTCTCAAGTTCGACTTCCGATATAGTCTCTGACAATTGTCCTTGTTTGTATTTGATGTCATGACCATGCATTGGAAGTAAAAGATGAGAATTAAATGACTTGATGTTTCTGGATTGGGGTTTTTAAATTAAGTCGTGAAAGAAAAAGAAATGATGCTCATGCAAGTTCAAGTATTAATTGTTGGACAGATACATAGATGAAAGAGTTAACGTTTAAGAGTTCTTGGGCCTTGGTAGGTTGAATCCTTGACTGGTCCAGTGCATGCTCTTTCCCCATTATGCTATTTGATTTTGAGTGCTCTGGCTAGGCAATTCGTGATGAAATATCTTAGTAAAAGTTTTCCAGATTTATAAAACCAAAAACCCTTAAATTTCTTTATTTGAAATGAAACATATTTGAGGTAAGAGAACTTAAAGCTTTTTTAAAAGGACTGAGGTCTTTGTTATGATTTTCTGACACTAATTACAACTTACACTTACCACTTAGTTTGCTAACAATAGTTATTTAGTTGCAACACATGTAAGTTTGTGCTTTCAAATTCTTTACCGCGTATAAATTCCGCAACATTAAAGCGCAATCACCTTCCATGACGTTACTAACTCTTTTGGCCACATTTTTAACTACTAGATGAAATCCCGCATAAGCGCGGGGAATCAAATTTTTACCACTGCTGATGGAATAATTCCAGTAATATATCATGGTTTTCACAATTAAAGGCATGTAGCGGGAAGAAATACCTTGTTCAAAATCCCGCGGTTGGTTTAGGAGCAAGAGTAGATATACCCCCTCCCTCCCCGTCTTTTTTCCCCTCTAAGATCTCAATTTCACTAATAAATTGAATTAGGTGTTTTCTCTTTACTTATTAGCAACTTTATTTTAATACCTGATGTATTATCTTATACGAGGGGCTTTTGAAAAGTTCTGAGAACTGCTTCTTAAAATATTAACCATTTCACAGAAGTGAGTAAGTTTGATACCACTGAAAAGAGCTGGAAAATTTACACTTACATGTATATGAACGTAATTTTCTTATTTATGACGTAATAACTCAAAAAATGACTTCAGAATCTCGAATGTTTAGCATACTGAAAAGTCGCGTTTTTTTTTCAACATGAGAACATCGAAAAAGTGTTGTCAAAGGCTGAGTAACTTTCACTACGCTGAATCATCTCTCTCTCTATCTCTTAAAAATCCTGGAGAGTTTTAATCTCAGACTTAATGAGAGCGACTATTTTGCCGGTCCAACTTGCCCTTAGTTGTTCTTTCACTGAAAAAGGATCTAGCAATTTTCATCAAAAAATCCACGAGTTTGCATTTCATAATTTAACATTTCATAATTTAGAATATTTTTTTTTCATAAAATTCTGTATGTTTGTTAAATAAAATCAGCGGGATTAAAAAAATAAAAAAAATGCATTTTTAGTATCTTTTAAGAGTTCCCTGAAATATGTGTCGACGGGTCTGTTATCCAAGAAAAAAAACCCAAATTGTGGCCTGTTAAAAGAAAACAGTGTTCTCTCTTACCACCAACCCAAGAACCAACGTCTGCACTCTCTGACCCGGTAGCTTGTTACTCTCCTAGATGGGGTTTTACAGCTAGTAGACCAAGTTATACTGAAAAATAAAAACACAATATTAACATTCTATGCAAAGCGAGGATATCTATTTATTTATCCTTGTTGATTTCCCGTGGAATCACTTTAATTCATGGGGATAATTTTCGTGGGCAGCCAAACTTTAACTAGTTTACTAGTTCTTGGGTATGTAATTTGGTGGGTCACGTAGAAATACAGAATATTCGATGAAAGGTGACCCACAAAATTCACGAACATTGGTCCCCCACGAAAATGATGATTCTGCAGTATTTTTCTTAGCTTACAACATACCTTTTTACCATATAATCAAACATCAAGGAGTCTAAATTAATCGTTAGATACAAAAACAAGCATTACAGAAAAAAACAAAGCAGTGTTCGAAATGTTCAGAATTGTAGCCAGTACAGGTGTTTTAAATGAATTAAAGTTAAAATGGGCCTGACCTATTTTTGTCATACCTGGAAAGACTTTCGTTAACTCAGAAAAAAAGCAGATGCTACTACAGTTACAATGTCAAGGTCAATCGAGTGCCGGTCTTAATTTACTTCTTAGGAACAATTAATAACATATTTTATATGAAAACCTTTGTATTCTTATCTAGTATATAGTCTATATTCCATACAAAATGGTAATTGACAAAAACAAGCTGGAAGCTTTAAAAAAGAACCACACACTCATTCTTTTTTATATTTGATGTTTTCAATGAATTATATATCGTTTAATTATTTCATTTCAAACAAAGATTGATGAAAATGGAATATGAACAGAACTTCTTTTGTAAGGAATGAAGAAGCAAGATTTGGTGAAGCAATGTACTACATGTGATAACATTACAAGGCAATTGTTTTGTTTTGTTTTTTTAAATATGAGATAACGTAAATTTGGGAAATGTTACAAAGGTGAGTTCGATTTTTTTTTTAGGTTGTATGGGATACCTCCATGTTATGACGTCCGTCCGTTTGAAGTATTGTTTTAATTTAGTTAAACGTTTATTTTCGGGTAAAAATTTGTAGCTACAGCGTTTTATAGAACTATCTGAAGCTACTTAAATGCAAGTATTCACAAGTTGGCATTTCATTTAAAATAGACAAAAATTTGCAAGTCTGTAACAACTAATATTTGAACTATGGACATTTCTAAAAAATAAAAAAATGCCTGATATAAAAGATACCACCTTGTGTGCAGTGAGGTATTGATAAGTATGATTACCTCACATTGTTCTGAATTATTACCGATCAATTATCATGTTAACCTGAACTGGTCTTTCTTCTTATTTCATTCAAGAAGTACATGTAACTGTTTTGTCAAATATAGCCCCAAAACTTTTAGAACTTTGACTGCAATTTTTCTGAAGGAGACACATCATGGAAAGCGAGTGTTCATGCATTGCTTTCAGAATAGTTTAGTGAAAAGGTAATTCAGTGAAAACTATCACAGCACTGTCACTGTACAAAAGTTTGAAAAAATGCTTGTTATTTCTGAAATAACACCCATGGTTCTTTATTTCAACCCATGGAAAATAAAGAAGTATAACTTCTCCATTAGGATCTTTTAATTAAAAAAAAATTCCAAATGCATGCGATATTTTCCATTTCTATATAATTAATATGTTAAACGGTGCGACCGTTGGTGAGGGCGGAGCCATCAAGTGAACATTTCTACATTTTATTGTTTAATGATAAACTAGTGTTAAAATCAAATTGTAATTAGTGTCAGAAAATCATAACAAAGACCTCAGTCCTTTTAAAATGAGCTTTAAATTTTCTTACCTCAAATATTTTTCATTTTAAATAAAGAACTTTAAGGCTATTTGGTTTTGTAAATCTGTAAAACTTTTACTAAGATATTTCATCATGAATTGCCTAGCCAGAACACTCAAAATCAAATAGCATAACGGGGAAAGAGCGTGCACTGGACCAGTCAATGAATCAACCTACCAAAGCCCGTTAACTCTTTCACCTATATATTTATCTGTCCAACAATTGATACGTGAACTTGCATGAGCATCATCATTTTTTTTTATCTTTCACGACTTATTAAAAAACCTCAATCCACAAACACCAAGTCATTTAATTCTCATCTTTTACTTCCAATGCATGGTCATGACATCAAATACAAATAAGGACAATTGTCAGGGACTACATCGGAATGAAGTCGAACTTGGGACCAAAACTACAGAAAGACGATCTAACTCCTGGGCTACCAGGGCACTTGGAAACTGATCATCTGACCAACACTAGGGCTGTGTATCGTGAGGGCTAAAAGTATCAGCATCGCAAAATTTCTGAGAATCATTTTCTTAATTTTAATGGAAAAAATGTAGAGTAAATTGAATGTTTCTGCATTTTTAAAAACTCTTATTCGAATAGTCGTTAGTGCTTTCTAAAACTGACATAAAAGCAAGGTAAAAATCTTTTCTTTTTGATATCCGGAAAAACAAATTTAACTCAATAAAAGTTTTTTCCAGACATTAAATTGTTTATGCGAAAACTACAGGTATTAGAATTTTAAAACCAAAACTTGTGAATAATAGGGCACATTTCTGGGACATATCAAATAGAATATTTATCTATGTATCGAACCCCCCCTCCCCCCCCCCCCGACTCAGTGTAATTGATGTTATGTGACATCCCTATCCACCACATAATTAATAAAAAGGATCATATATGGAAGCTTAAAAAAGATGTTTTAGTTCTACTCAGCAACACTGACCTCTTTACATGAATTACCATGGGTAAAGTCAAATGAAGATTCTGTATTTGCGGGGTCCGCGTGGCACAGTGGTTAGAGCGTCTGCTCTAGAGTCGCGAAGTAAGGAGTTGATCCTTACGTCGCGGGTTCGAATCCCACTGTGGGACGTGGAGACCGGTCCTTCGGATGAGACCGTATAAACCGAGGTCCCGTGTCGCAGTAGGTGCTGGCACGAAAAAGACCCCTCACTACTCAATGGCCGTAGTGCCGAGTATAGGACAAAATTTGCAGCTCTCCACCGGCAAGTGGTGGCGTCTCCATATGAGTGAAAAATTCTCGAGAGGGACGTTAAACAACATACAATCAATCAATCAATCTAATTAAAATGAGATCTTTGATCCGCTCCAACTAGATCGCGTGTAGCGCTCCCTTTTTTAAAAAGAGAGTACGCATATGAAATATCAATTATTACAGGTTAAAAATTCAACAGTTTCCGCTGATTCAGTCAATGAATGACGTCACATGTCAGGCCTATGACGATCGAGTGCAAGTTAGTTGAAAACGAAAGTAACAAGGATGTGTACTATAAGGGTGTTTTTGATTATTAGAATTGATAAAACTTCATTAACGCAGGATTGGAATTAAAATTATGATTCTCCAGCATCTCGTTTATGCGGGAATTTGTCGCGAGATTCAAGATGGAAAAGACTGTGGACGCCATATTGGCGACAAGGTTCTCAGTTCCATAGGTATTGTGATAAAAATATAGTTTACAATAGAATTCAATATATTTTACATACATACGTGTTACCTATAGGGAGAGCTTCGTTCACGGGCCCTTCGGGCCCGTGAGAGGGCTCCGCCCTCTATAATTATAATTAAAAACATTCTATTTTGAGATTTTTTCACTCATATGGAGACTTCACCACTTGCAAATGGAGGGCTGCAAATTTAGACCTAAACTCGGCACTTAGGGTCATTGTGCAGTAAGGGATCTTTTCGTGCCAGCACCTACTGCGACACGGGACTTGGGTTAATACGGTCTCATCCGAAGGAGCGATCTCCACGTCCCGTAGTGAGATTCGAGCCCGTGACGTCAGAATCCTTAACGCTGTACCCACTGCGCCACGCGTGCATCTGCAAGAATTTCATTTACTTGCAAAACGGAAGCACACCCTTTCCCCATAGAGTAAAATTTAAAGTTTGTGTCCGAAGGCTTAATATGCATTGAAATATACTACTTTATTTCGAACTAGGTTTTAACCTCAATTTGTAAACTTATCAAGTAAGTACAGCCAATTTGCGAAGAGAGTTTTATTAGGTATTATAATTATAATAGCTTATTTTTGTTGTCACCTGACTTTGTTGATCAAATAACGGGCGATAATTTTCCTAAACGTTATACAAAAATCACCACGACATAAATGATAAACACAATTATTGTGACCTTTTTTGCCTAAATCATTCAATTGTATCCTACTGTAAATGAAAATTGCTGGTGACAAGTCTGACTTTTGCTTCTACAGAAATCATTACTTGAGAACTTCAACTAATTCACACATATGAGCATATTTTTCACATTACATCGTAATGTATACAGAACAAGCTAAAACATAAAATCCACCAGCAAAATCAGAGAAGATTCACACAGAATATCTCCATTTATCTTGATTAATCACGTGTGCAAGTCTATTATACACGATCTGTAAATTCTAACTTTATCTTTGGGATCATTTCATATACTTTTTGTTATTTTTAGAATAGGTTACATATCAGAATCAATATTTTATAGCAAATGTTGCCATCATCAAAGCGTATTAAAATTCAGAAACCTGAATTTAAAAATAAAGAAAGAAATCTTTTGTACATGTCATTTGAAAGGAATGTAAAAACCTATAACACTTTTTCCGTCAAGTCAGTTCAACTAGCAGTGCGTTACGTCATAATATTTACATCCACTGAATATTTTCTCCTTTATTTCTAAAGAAAACCATTGCCGTTTATCAGTTCATCAACAAAACTAGGCATATCACCTGTACAGATTTCTTGATCAGTGGCTGTTCCATCAATGAAACGTACTATGACGTACATATCAATAATACAATAATTAATCTTTTTACTTCACTCGCAATGAGCATTTTGCATTTATCAAAATAGTCCAAATTAATTTAAAAATAATGGCCTAACAATTAAAGTCGTCCAAATTCGACCGACCGATCGAGTGTACAGGTAATTGTAAACAAGGTGGTGATAATAATCATAGAATGCAGACTTTGATAGAGACTGCTGAAAGTCATGTAACATTAACTTATTTTTTAATTAAAGTATCGAATCAGTTGGGAGATATAAACACCATTTACAGGTGTTAATGGAATATTGCTACATAAATAAGGGAAGGTGAGGATGGAAAAGCTGAGGTCAACCTGTTTGTCACATAGTTTAGTTTGCAGTTAGCGACTTCATGAATAGTCAATAACACATCCAAAAATAATTTTAAAAAAAATGTGGCACACTCTGTGTTTGTTTTTTTTTTTTTTTTTTTTTTTTTTTTTTTTTTAAAGTTTTATGTTTATATAACGAGACTACATATGAATGAAAATGATTATTGTTAATTGAAAAAACGTCGCTGATATACCTTAATGTCTAATTAAAAGCCAAAGATTTTCCTTTTAAATGTGTTATTTAAAATCAAAAGTGCAATATATCTAATACAGGGATAATGGAGCAAATATAGACTCCTTAGTAATTATATAACTGTCACTCAGCAGTAATAATGTTCCTCGCATGCACATTTCTGCCTGTAAATGATGCAATATGTTTACGAACCCAGTATTGAATCCATAAAGAATATGTCGCAGTACAATTAAAAAAAAATATGCATCAAGGCAAATACCTCTTCAAATATTTTAGAATATGAATTGAATTTGAAACTTTGAAAGCAAGTTTTTTTTTTTAATTCACACTGCATATGGATAGGATAAATTACGCTCTTTTCAAAGAAACTTATCTGGGAAAAAAGTCTATCAATCAATATTTTAAATAAATGATTAAACTTAAGTACTTCGTTAAAAATGACTGTAGCAATACCTAAAGCAATACTTTAATATTGCACAAGATCTTATTGACAAAGAATTAAACACTTAATGTTTACATTTTCCCGACTACGGGAAACAACTATGAAATCACACGTAAACGAAACAGCAAAATGGAATATAAATTCACTCAATATTATTACTGCGTTCCCTGTTTCAAAAAATCCCTCACGATGCAATGACTTTGACATTTTTATGTAAAATTTGACCATTTAATCAACGCCTCCCTGATCTTGCTGCACTAACAATCATATATGACTTCAAAGACATGTAAATCCGTGTAAGGAAACAGCAGAGTAGATCAATCGATTCACAATGTTTAAATAGTTCCACGATCGTTAGAAACTTTTGTTTCTTTTTATATGTTGTAGCTTAACAAGATGTACAAAAATACACAAGTACTGATAATTTTTACAACATTTAGCACTGCATTAACGGAGACTATGACGAAGTCAGCTGAGCCATTTAACATGTCCTGCTTCTCCTTAGGATCATCCTATGATAACAAATGAAAACAGGATATTTTGTGAATCATGGATGCCCCAATATGGCATCTCATGTCGAAGGTTAAAGTTTCTCAAATAAGAGTCAAAATCCAAGGTCAAGAGAAAAATTAATGATACCCCAAGAAAAATATTGTCGCAAGAAAAATACATGTGAAATAAGAAATCCTATCACCTATCGTCCATATCTTATAGCCAAGGCCAAAAGTAGGTCAACCTCCGAGGTCAGAGTCAAAGGATCAAAATTAACGGTGCCTAAGTGAAGGTCTTATCACAAGGAATACACATGTGAAATATAAAAGCCCTAGCACCAACTGTTTAAATGTATGGCCAAGCTTAAACTTTTTTAAAAGCAGGTCAAACGCCAAGGTGAAGATCAAACGGTCAAATTGGTTAATACCCACGGAATGGTCTTGTCACAGGGAATACAACTGTGAAATATGAATTCCTTCGCACCAACCATTCAAAAGTGATGGCGAATGTTAATGTTTTTCAAAAGTAGGTCAAACTCCAAGGTCAAGGTCAAAAGGTAAAAAATTTTGTACGCAAGGAAAGGCCTTATCCCAAGGATTACACCTGTGAAATTTGAAAGCCCTAGCACTAACTTTACAGAAGTTATGGACAAGGTTAAAGTTTTTTAAAAGTAGGTCAAACTCCAAGGTCCAAGTCAAAAGAACAAAAATATTTAAACCCAAGTGAAGGTCTTATCACAAGGAATATACATGTGAAGTATGAAAACCCTAGTATCCACTGGTGAAACGTTATGACCAAGATTAAAGTTTGGTAAAATTTTGCAAAAGTTGGTCAAACTGCAAGGTAAAGGTGAAAAGGTCATATATGTTAGGACCATAAGAAAGGTCTTGTTACAAGGAATGCACTTTTGAAATATAAAAGCAATAGCTCCAATCAATCAAAAGTTATGGGCAAGGTTAATGTTTTTGCGGACAAAAAGACAAACGGACAGACAAAGAGACGGACGTACAGGGCAAAAACTATTTGCCCCCGAATCTTTGATTGAATCAAGAGGAATTATCAAACATTTTTAAACTATCTAGTAGCTATTGCTTTAGTAGTGGATCATTTCTTGCAATTAAAATTTTATGGAACCTAATAAATCCTAACATTCAATGTGAGTTTTTTTTCTGAAGGAATCTCTTAATACATGTTTTTATTGATTAGTTCATAGTATATAACGATGAACACATGCACTATATATACAAACTTTCCTTTATTCATTTAAAATTTTTCACTTTTTTTACATTAATAAGGGTATTTAATTTATAATCTACATGATCGATATAGCAACGATAATAGAATTAAAACATTGTCGTCCTAATCTGTCATTTAAAGAGAACAAACACCAAATAACAAATAAAAATCCTGCTGCAACTGCATTTACTAGGTCAAAAATCGATCATATTTTGCTATATTCTGGGCATCAATGTTATCCAAAAAGTAAAATCCACAGACGCCCCTTATCGTTCTCTCCCTTGTCAAATACTTCCCGCTCGTCCCCAGCTACATGTAATTGGCATAATGCTAGTGTGGAAATCTTCGTCAAAAAAATAAGTAACATATAGAGTAAAACAGTTTTCAGACAGACCGATTTGCAGATCAAATATTTGGTATAAGGACACCGAGAGCAGTTATATTGCACAATGTCAGATACAAAAAGTAGCATTTACTTACTAAATGTGGCTGAACAAAAACCAGCAATAAAAGAAAATATGCACCCGCGGCATTTTGAGGGAACATTAAGCTGCTGTTGTGTGGATAATTATAAACAATGCTAACAGCAATGTATTTGCAATAGAGAACGGAAGTAAAATTCAAAATTCTGTCAATTCGGTCCTGAAATACTCGCATTTTGTAATTTTGGGTTAGTGTTAGCGTTAGGGTTTGGATAAGGGTTAGGGTTAGTCAGGGGTTTAAAATTACAAACAATAAAAATCTGTGAACAGAGCATAAAACACTGATCCCCGGAAATTCCAGATGTGGGATCAGGTGCCTAGAAGGAGTAAGCATCCCCTGTTGACAGGTCATTCTCTCCGTAATATAAGCCCCATGTATTGATTATGTATATGGAACACTCCGCAGTCAAATTCAGTATAAAAACATAGGCCTTACAATTGTTGTGAAACACGTCAGCCAAAATAAGACCACACTATAGCTTATATTTGCTTATAATGTCATTATAAAGACCATAGAATTTAGGAAATGCTGGCTTAAACAGGTAATTGAATTCCCTGTAATATCAACTTATCTGTGAATATCTTGCCTCGGTTTAACATTTTATAGCATGCAGACCATGATCTTGAGTATCGGATAGGTTTGGAGATCTAAACACCATATGCGGGTGATAGTTTTAGTTTGAATTATGTTTTCAATTAAAAGAAATTGTACATGCTTTTAGTTCTTTTTTTTTCGTCTTAGAAATAGATATGACCCATTTGAAAAACAAAATTGCTTACAATCAGAAAGATCTTTCAACAATCAACAAAAAAGAGATTTTATGTCCGTCATATTTGTAAGTGAAAAGCAAGAGTAAATTATGTTTTGGAATTTACAGTGCACACCAAATATTATAATACAACTATCTTGATATTGTCGGTGTTATCTAGAACGTATTTTTAATAAGGTTTACACAAGAGAACATAATAAAAATATAGTAATAAGAGTTACATAAATAAAGAAGTAAAGAAATGACAGTGATTCATTTGATACACTTTGATACACAAGAATTTGATCAGCTTAAAGAAAAAAAACGTTTAAAATCATATTAAATTTCTAGTCGTGTCCAAGAGCTATAAACTTGTATCTGTTTCTGAGTAAGTCATAAACTTTATGAAGCTGGGACCATCTATCTATCCTTGAGGAGGCAGATGAAGGCCAAAAGTAAAAAAACGTTGACATTTTGATATTCTATTGTTCATTTAATTCCGTTATTATATGCTTCACGTAGGGTAGAAGCAAGCACATAACCTCTCTGAATAAATTTTGGGCATAGAATATCTACCATTTAAATCGACACATATTGACTGATTTTTCTGAGTCAGGGTTTGTTGTTGGAATAAGCTGAAGAAAACCCTTTTGAACTTCAGAACAATCTGATAAAACTTTTGCCTTCTGCAATAAAACTGAATGGCTAATGGTCCTGTGTCATTCATTTAAAAATATATTTCATTCCCAGTTTGCTCATATTCTAAATGGTAAACACGCTTTTTAAATATATGAGGGACACTCACGTAATAATTATGTGTTGCTCGTTTTTCATGACAAACAACGCTTTGAAAGGTATGTTGAGGAAACGTTGTAATTCTATGTAATTTCGGATTTGTATTGATTAGACATGCGTCATTTTAGTATTCCACATTCAGCAATATCTGTATAACATGCATTGTTACTTCATGGTTGGAAACTTTATAGATCTGATGATGTATTTTGTTTGAAGCAGTTTTATAAAAATAAGTGGAACACAAAATATTAAGAAATTAAGACTCTCCTTGTCCTGAGTGGACCACCTTATACGTACTTTTCTACGTCATCCTGTATATTATGAAACAAACCTGCTAGTCTATACATTCCTTTTAATGAAGTGAAATATTAGAACGCAGCATGGAAAAGTAAATTCTCTCGTAGAGAGATCATCAATATGCATCTTTTTGGCAGTTTTCATGCGATGATTTTGTATCTGAAGATCAAAGAGAACAATCCTTAATATGCATCATTGTAGCCGTTTCTATGCGATTATGTTGTATCTGAAGACGCGATTGTTGGTAGGAGTAGAGAGCGGTTCGGAGGTCTCCTGTCATCTGTTGACAGATCCCCAGGATCTGCCATGATATATCCCTAAGATATTTAGGTACAAACACACCCCGGTCATTATGGACTAGAAATTGTAAATCATCCAAGGCCACTCGTGCTGCGGCTGTGTCAATATTTTTGTAGCACAAAAACTCTAACATATGTAACAGCACAACGGGTGGAATCATTAAATGAATCCATCCGTTAACTAGGCCAGAAACCTGTTCCTTCATAAATGCGGAACAATAACAAACATTATTGTAAAGTTTGATATCTTGAACCATGGCATGTTTCATTTTCTGAGACCAAGTTTTCCCTTCGACAGCTTTTGAATATGATTGAGCATCAAAACTTTCGCGATACAAAAGCTGTGGCTTTGCTAACTTCAGTTTTGCTTCTTGTATGACATACAAAGCGTCCCGGTATCTTGATGTAGTGAAATAATACAGTGCAATATACAAGATATCCGATATACATCCAAACATCGCTGCTAATTTCAGCATATAACGAGACATCCTGTCTGAAATATATCTGCGTCTGTTGCACTCAGTTTCACTGCACTTGTTTTGTATTATAAAAGCTGTTAATTGAAGAATGGCTGTGATTTGAGCTTGCAAAGCAACGATTTGAAATTGCGTAAGGGGTAAACTGACAGATTCTTCAATTGCACGTACGTACCTAAAGATGTGTTGTAGGTCTGGAATAGGTATTGAAACATGAATATATATTTCCATGAAGAAGTGCGCGTCAAAGTCAGGTTCAGCAACTAATATTCGATCATCTGTTGATATTTTAAGTGTTGGATTGCAGAGAACATCTGTGATATTAAATTGAATGGCTGTAATGGACAGAAGAAATGTTACGCCTTTCTCATACAGTTGGTAAAGCTGGGTAAATAACTGCGCCTGTGCTTCACCGTAAATTTTATCAAGAAAGATATTGTTATCAGGAATAAAAAAGTTTGGGCATTCTCCCTTATATACCCAGAGAAGGATTCTCTTAAAACAGGCCCAAAAACATCCTAAAAGTGTTTGAGGACTCCAACAGGATATTATTCTTTGCTGAATAACCCAAAAAACTGCAGTTTTCATGTGATAAGAACATAATAGTTTATCCTTTTCATTCAACCCTTTGTTTATAATTTCCTTTAAAAATAATTTAAGCAAACCATAAGTCAAAAGCTGAACATGATTCATTGAGCACATAAGTTTCTGTTCTGCAAGGGAAAACGATATTCGCCATTCATTATGCTCTTGATCTCCTAACCTGTGTCCTACTGGTACAAAATGACATCCACTTTTGACTATGTCCTTAACAATATAGAGATGGGGCCAACTGCAACATCTTTGTATCCATGAAGAGGCACATGGAGGCCAAACGTCACTGACTAAGCAATGGACATTATCATACTCTAATGGTCCAACTTTTCCACTAGCACTAGGTCCATGTTCCTTAGAACTTTTCCTCACTGCTGGGACCATAATTTTTCTATACTTGGAGCTCGATAAACACGGTCTACCATTTAAAATAAAACATGCAGATTGAATACTTCGTCTATAACTTTGTGTAAGTAAATAAAGTAACGAGAACCCCGGTGGACGACCGGATGAATCGGCTATGATCAATGTATGTTTGTCTCTTGCGTACAACCGAACTTCTGATAAATTCCACACCACTCTATGGTCATCTGGCCATAACATAAAGTCCATATCTGATCCTTGCATTCTGAAACCTTCTCTGTAACTTCCACTCCACATCATTTTGTTTTGATCTGAGTTAACTTTTCTGTCAATTAATTCCATGATGTCAACCAGGTCTCTCCTCATGCGCACCTGTTGTGTAGTTCCAATGTTGCGACACAGCCCCACATATACTGACTCTGACATGTTCTGTAATACACTGTGAGAAGAATACTATTTCTTAACTTAGGTATTACATTAGATGACATTTTATATTCTGAAAAATATATATCCTTTTTCTTCGTAGTACTTACACATCAGCTGGGATCTTAGAAGTCATAGCCAAAATTTTGCCGGAGAAATCACCTGTAAATGTAAAGTAAATAAGTATGAGAGTCCTCTGTAAAGATTTCTAGCAATCTACCTTTCTCTTATGCTTCTCTTTTCAATTTGAATTTTATATACATAGGTGGAAAATAATTCACTTTGTATGTTAATTATATTTCGCCTTTATCAAAAACATATGAAATATATGGAGATAACGAACAGTATTCAAGCTCAAAAGTCCATTAAACATTACGAAATAGGAGCAGAGCAAGCGCGGACTTCCAAAACATCAGAAGTGGGATCATGTGCCATGGAGGAGTGAGCATTCATTGCAGACCGGTCACACCCGCCGTGTCCTCTTTGTCATGATCTGGAAATAACGAAAAATCCGTTGACAATTCAGTGTGTAAATAATGGCCTAACAATTAGTATGAAAAACGTCAGTCAGCATATGACTCAATGATAAATTGTATTTGCTGAGAAGGTCATTGTATCGACCAAGAACTTACGAAATGATGACTACAAAGGAGACTGCTGATATTCTTGTTTCATCAACTTGTTTGTCATTAATTTACCACGTTTTAGAAATTGTTCATACGTAGAGCATGCTCTTGCTTATCGAATCACTAGAGATATAAACCCCGTATGCAGGTGATGAAGGTATATTGCTGCATAAGTAAGGGAAGTTGACGATTGGAATCTTAAAGTCATCACGTTTATCATAAAGTTTGGTTGTTAGATTACCATTAACGTCTTTTTCAAGTAAAATATCCAAGTATGAAACAGATGTGTCAGACTCTGTTTTATTTTTTTTTATCTCAAGCTCGACGGGATATATCGTATCGACATAAGAATAGAAATAACCATTGTTAATTGACAATATCGTTGATATATCTAAATGTCGAGTTGAAGGCCCCAGCAAGTTTGTCTTCTTTTCACGTATAAGATGTTGGACAAATTCA